GCAAGGCGGGCGTTCATTAGCCTGAAACAAGTGTGGAGATCGACTGCACTCAGAATGTGGAACAAGATCCGGATTTTTAACACCAATGTCAAGTCAGTACTTTTATATGGTTGAGAGACTAGCCCCGTTACTTAAGGCATTTCCAACAAATTATAGACATTCATCAACAACTGTCTTCGCTGGCTTGTTACTCAAGATCAGATGACCAGAAAGAATAAGCAACAAGGAACTTTGGCTGACTGACAAGGAACCAACCAAGAACTTACCACCCAACAAATATGCAGAAGAAAGTGGAGATGGATTGCACATACACTGAGAAGACTATTTGGGAACATCATACTCTAGGCCAATTACTCTAGTGAAATCCAGATGGGGAACAGCAAGTTGGGCGTCCGAGGGTGACATGGAAGAGATCGTGCGAGGAAGAAATGATAGCTTCTGGGCTGTCGTGGAACCAGGTTCAAAAAATTTCAGAGAACACAGTGCACTGGAGACGTGCTACTGAAGCCGTATGTTCCAGTAGGAACCCAAGAAACAAATGATAATAATAAACACTTAATAAATAATTGAATAGATATTCTTCGATATTTTTTTCTTATGTTCCGTTTTTTGCAGTTGGTGACTATATGTGGAATAAAATCACGTCATTTTATCCTGCGAATCTTTCCATTCTTGCTTTGTTGAAATTTTTCGAGGGAACGAAATATAGTCCATCTCTCGGAAACCAGTCAGAGTTTACGATAAATCCTTAATTACGAACTAATATATCAGAAGTTTTGTGTCAACTGCAGTAGTGAGAATTTAACAAATAGACAACTTCGATTAGAAAAGAGAAAGGAAAGAAAAAGCTGGTATATTGTTGGATTAGGAGGTCAGTGTTTTTCAGAAGAATGTGGGTTCATGTAGGCTTCGAATAGGCAACTTCTAGATTTCTAAGTCAATCGTTAAATGAACTCGCAGCTCGGTTCTGATTATAATTAGGCGCAGTATTTTCACTTAAAGTTATTCCTAAAAAGTGGATTTCCAAATTTATATGAAACTGACAAAAACAACATTTCACAACTCTAAATGAATGAGATTTGACAAGTCAGAATTTGCCTACAAGGATATTATTTTATTTTTTTACTATTTGTCCTTTCGGTACGTAGTGGAACATAGGGCTTCAGTAGCACGCCTCAATTCCACTATCTTCTTTGCAATCTTTTCAACCTGGCTCCGTGACTTCCCACAAGCTTTCATTTCTTTCTCACATTATCTCCTCCGTGTCACCCCCATGGAGGACGTCGAACTCGGTGTTTCCCTTGCGGGTTCCACTCGGATGCCTGGCTCGGCGGGTAGTGTCCCCAAATGGTCTCCCAGTGTATGCCCAATTCATCTTCACTTTCTTCTGCATAGTTGTTGGGTGATGGCTTCTTGGTTGGTTCGTTGCTAGTCAGCCAGAGTTCCATGTTGCTTATTCTTTCTCACCATCTGATCTTCAGTATCGAGTGAGCGTAGGTGGCAGCTGTTGATGAATGTCTGTAGTTTGTTGGAAACGTTTTAAGTAACGGGCTTAGTCTCTCAACCATATGGAAGCACTGACTTGACTGAGATTAGTGTTGTTCTCGCTTTATGCTGAGTGTGGTAGATCTCCACACTGATTTCAGGTTAGTGCAGGAAGGCCTGTCTACCTTCTCCTATTCTGGGTTTGACATCCTCATCTGTGCCTCCACCGCCGCCTGTATTTGAAACGATGCTGCCTGTGTAGGTAGGTAGTTAGGTAGGTAGGTAGGTGGGTAGGAGAAATAGACAACTTCGTTTAGATTTCCCCCATTGATGGTGATTGGTGCTTGTTGTTGTTATTCGTTGGTAACCTTCATCACCTCTGTCTTCTCTACGTTCACCTGAAGTCCTGTCTTGGCTGCCTCATCTCTTCTATCAGTTTGTTGGTTTTTGCTTGTAGATGTTTGAGTTTTTGCGACACTAGACATAAATCATCATTGGCGGAATACAAATCTTGTTGGGTCTTTTCATTGATCACAGAGCGTTTGCCCATCTTCTTGCTCCTGACAGTTTATTGCGTGATCGAGTAGAGTTGAGTTGACCACCATGAGGAAGATTATCGGTGATGATAGTAGGCAACCATGTCTTACTCCTTCCTGTCTTCACTTGAAAGTCATCACTGAGCTTTTCATTGTGAGTTACTTGGCATGCAGTATGTAGCATCATATCATATCATATCATATGGCTGTTGTTGAATGAGCTGGATAAAGGTTTATTGCAGTAAAAACGTAGTTTCGAAGCAGTTTACAAATTACCACCTCCCGGTCGACGCTATCGAAGGGCTGTTCAAAGTTGATGAAGTTGAGGTAGAGGTAGAGAGAGAGAGAGAGAGAGAGAGAGAGAGAGAGTTGACTGGCATTCAACTCTGTGTTCCAGGATGATGCGTGGCGTTGCGTTTCGAATTGATCCACACATGATTTGTTCTTCCTGATTCCAGCCAGCCAGCCAGCCAGCCAGCCAGCCAGCCAGCCAGCCAGCCAGCCAGCCAGCCAGCCAGCCAGCCAGCCAGCCAGCCAGCCAGCCAGCCAGCCAGCCAGCCAGCCAGCCAGCCAGCCAGCCAGCGTGTTCCGGTAGTAATTTTGAATCCAGAGTGTTCTTCAGTCTCTCCAGGACGATGCGGCCCAATGTTTTGCTGCACTTGGGTGACAAGGAGCGTGATCCCACACCAGTTCTTGACAAGACTTGCTTATGTCGTCCTTCTTTGGGAGTTTGACCAGGTAGCACTCCTTCCACTCTGCAGGTACCTTTCCTTCCTTCCTTCCTTCCTTCCTTCCTTGTGAGCCTTGTGCAATAGTGGTGTGAACATGTCCGCTATTGTCTCTGTGTCTGTTTCAAGTGCTTCTGGCGGAATTTTATCTGGTCCTGCTGCTTTCCTGGATTTCAGCAACTTTATGGCGTTCAGGACTTCACTGTTGTTTTTGTCGGAGGGCTTGTGTTCACTGATAGTTGATTGGCTGGTCTGCTGGTGGTATTTGTGGACGAGTTGCAGGTGGTGGTGGTGGTGGTGGTAGTCGATTCAAGAGTTTTTTGAAGAGGTCAGCTCATCATTTCCTTTGTTTCTCCTCTTTGGTGGTAACTAGCTTTCCTTCACTATCTTTCATTGATTTCATCTGTGCTGTGTTGATCTCTTCACTACCAGATATTAACCCGGTTATTTGATATAATGTTGTCAGGTCTCTGTCTCTCCTACCTGCAGCCTGTTCTGCTTCAGTTGCCAGTGTGTCGTGGAAGTGTCTTTTGTCTTTCCATACACTCTTCTTCACTTCTTTATCCAGTGTAGTGTTTTGTAGGTTGTGTTCAGTTCCTCTTTTCGTTGTTCATCCCTGCACTGCACTGCACTGCACTGCACGGGTTCATCTTCTGCTTCATCATCTTCCTCTCCCTACTCTATCAGCTTCCCTGTGTGAGTGAGGATCCATTCCTTGTTTTGTCTCTTCTTCTTCCTTCCTAACACGGTTATGCAGGTTTCCTTCAATGTCTCTTTCACAGAGTTCCAGTGTTTTACCACGCAGGTTTACTCTGGATGGTCCTAGATATCTCTCATTTTTTCTTGATGGCGGACATGAAGACTTTCTTTGTAGTTTCGTCCTTCAGTTTTCGAGTGTTGCGCTTGGAGTATGGTCTGTCATAACCAGCTTCTTTGAAGGCTTTTAATTTGATTTGGATGGTTTCTTTTGCTGGATAGTTGTCTGAACCTACATCTGCTCGTCTTTTTGACCTTGTGTCTTGTAGGCTGCTTTTCCGCTTTCTTGAGACTGAAATAAAGTGGATCTTATTTTCCATGTGTCAATCTGGTGGGAATCCATGTCGCTTTGTGGATATTCTTGTGATTGAACGCACTTCCTCCGATCACTAAATCGTTGAATGTGCAGAACTCTGCAAACAATTCTTCATTCTCGTTCGTTTCACCGAGCGCTTCTCGACCCATGGTTAGTTCTCTTCCTGTGTTGTCCCCTCCCAGTTTGGCATTCATGTCACTTATTAAAATTTTGATATCACCAACTGAGCTCTTGTACAGTGTTGATTGCAGTTGTCTGTAGAATTCCTCTTTTTTCGCTTGCTCTGCATTATTTGTAGGTGCATAGTATTGGCATTGTATGATTGTGACCTTCCTTCCTTTTGAGTTGAATCCATCTTGCTGTCATGATCCTGGAGGAGATTGGTTCCCACTGCATGAGAGCCTTCGATGCTGTTGGGGACATCATGATAACCACTCCATAACTCAGTGTGCTCGTGGTTGTCGTCTGTGTGACAATATGGGAGTAGATTATTGATTCTCCAGTTGACAGTTTGGGAGTCCACTCCCATTCCATCTGCTTTCTCAAATTACTAACAGTTCAGTGTGTTACCTTCTCATCTTCTTTGCAATCTGAGCAGCCTTGCTAGGTTCAAACATTGTGCGGACACTCCATGTCCCCACGTTTACTTTCGTTTTCACTGAGAGGAGACACATTGGCCAATTGGCTTCGTGAAGGCTTTCACCAACCGACGTCATTTCGTCTTCTCGATTCCAGCGAGGACTAAGTTTTAACTTACGTTTTATATTTTCTTTGTGTTTTGAAGTTTCTCTGTCGGTTAGATTGGTTTTATGGGTTAGGTTTGTCAGCCCTATGCCCAACCTTTCCTTCTTACCCGGGCTTAGGACCGGCTAGTAACTAGTAAACTAGTTAACCAGGCGAGGTTTTCTTAAATGATATCTTAATTTGTCATCTTTAATTGTATTGTTATCATTCTTCATTTCCCTGTCTGAAACATTTAACCGGTTTTATGATCCTTCCTGCGTACTGAAAATTCATTTTCTTATTTGATTAACACTATGTATTTTTTTGGCTATTAACAGTATATCTGGGTTTTTTTTGTTACTTTGATGAAATCGATCAAGGGAAGATATTGTATGAAAAACATTTTGTCTAAATCTATGCATTTCTGTATTTCTTTCTCTTTACCTTGGTAATCAGGTCGTAAATTTATTCCGTACACGAAGTTCAGAAACTAGTGAAACTACATCGAATCGTTTTTCAATTGTTCGGTCATCTCCTAATCGATCAGTAATTAAAAACTACCGTACTAATTTATTGGCTTACTTGATATGGTTAATGGCTGCTTCAAATTCGAACAGTAGTAAACGTCGTTTGTCTGTTGCTGGTACAGATATGCATTCTCATCTGACTGGTGTTCACATGGTACCGGATTTACTGATTGAGTTAACAAAACAATTAAGATCTGGTGCAACCTTGCCGAATGATATACGGACAGGACTATGTCGTTTGTGCAGTTTAATGTCATTTCGTGTTGCTTCATTTCTAGTTCTACTGCATAGTAATGTGTTAGATGCAGATTCTTTGAATTTGATCTCAAACAGCACAGGGACTTTGTTCTCAAATTGTCTTGCTGTTCTGATAGATATTATACGTGAATCATCTTCACGTTGTGGTTTGCGTTTACGACAAGCGGCTGTTATTGCATTAGGTGAAGTTTTAACCTGTTGTACATGGTTATTAGCCTATGGGTTTCAAAAATCCGGTGCATTATCCATAGATGCTCAAGGTATTCAGTGGCAACTGCTGTTCATCACTTAATACGTATTATAACAACTGTCAGTACAAGTAGTGCTGCTTTAGCATCCAATTCTGGTAATAATGAGCCTATATCTATTTTGGATGCATTTGATAATGCTACCACACGAACTGGAGAATCTACACTTGCTGGTCGCAATTCACTGGCGAATGAAGAAAACTCATACACAACTGGAGTAACCACTACCAAGATTACAGAGATTCATGTACGTCTAAGTGCTGCAAAATCTTTAGATGCTTTTGTAACTGCAATCCATGGATGCCAATTGTATGATGTATCTGTAAGTGGTTCACTGAATGAGTCAATAACAGCATGTCTACATTCTGTTACAACTGGTGATTTAGTCAGTCGATTATGGTCACATGGTATTATGGATTCTAGTACAAATCGGTCCGGTGTCAATCCTATTCAACAAGAACTTACATTATCCTGTGCAAATGCTCTAGCAGGAATTATTCGTTTAAATCCAAGCTTGTTTACGACAGGATTGATCGATAGAGTTGGATCAATAGCATTTATCGGTTTAATTGAACCGCCGCCATCTGGATTGGCATGTCAACAAACAGATCTAGTTGTAAGTTAGTTCTTTTTCGTTTACTTATTCACACTGGAACATAATATTCAGCTTATTTCAGTTGATTTCTTCCATGAATATGTTGATTTTTATCCCAGTAAAGCTTATAAGAGTTTTATTGAAATAGTGATTTAAGTTATTTTTCTACTCTGTTGGGAAGCTGTATCCCGAGTTACTGTAAAGGCCATATTTACTACTACTGAAACAGCTAATTAAGTTTGGCTATTTGATGGTAAAACTACCTTCCTAGCCGAAATCGAGAAACGCAACTTGTTAGGTATGTAGTTACTAAGGTGGGTCACTCCCGTATGCCTCTGATGAATCCTCTTACACTGGTCACAGTACTTTTTAGACTGAGTTTAACTTCAAGCGACTTCTTGATGTTAGTGTAGGTGTCATAGTTGAAATGTACGCTTTAGCAACTGTATTACTGTTTAAAAAAGAGACAGTGTTTCGTGTACAGCGCTACAAAAGATGAGAAAGGGGCTTGCAGTACAGAAACATACGAATTAGAAGACAAGAAGTATGACTCAAGCAACAAACGTTTATCAAATGTACAGAGACGCGAAAATAAACATACTCATTAATAAATTCTGAGTTCTTCGGAATATCCTGGTCAACTTGAAAATGCGATGCTAGTCAGTGTATTTCAACAGAAAGCCAAGTTAAGTGGATTTCGTTGAATGTAGTTTTGTAGACTTGGTTCGAAGTTGCTTTGTGCAGAAACGTTAGTACACCTATGTCACTTTACTTCATATTCATCCAGTTTTCTAGGTTCATTCTGAAATACATTTTCTTGATCATATGTGAGCTGTAACTCCAGTTTATTTCCTGTTTTACATTTTAGGCCCGACTGCTATCCACTGCTGCTTCTGGCTTATTACCGCCGTTAACGATCAAATCCTCAAGTTCTGTACAACCTAAAGTTAAACGAGCACATTCAGTGTCAACTAAAGTATCACGTAATTCTATAACTGGCACCGGTGGTTCTGGAACACCGGCTGCATGCAGACGGTTACTATCTGAACATAAGTTTATCAATGCTATTTTTCGTCATTTAGAAAGTCCACATGCTATGCTACGAGCTAAAGCTTTCTTACTTTGTTCTGCTATCATAGCTAATTCACCACAAGATAGTTTACCGATAGCATGTCATCACCGTCTTCCAGCTTTACTGGAGCGTAATTTAAAAGCCACTAGAACATTAAATCACAGATATAATGATGCATTTGATTATAGTTTGACAAAGTCCTCAAATATCTCATCATCATCTGGTCAAAATGTAGAATCAGCAAGTACAGTATACTTAGCAGCATGTATAACTCATATGGCTGATATTTTAGTCTATGATATCATTCCAACTGTATGTCATCAAGTATTGTCAGCTGTTGGTCTAATTGGACCACGTAAAACTACTGGTTCCACAAATCATTTTACTAGACAAATATCTACTACATCATCAAATAGGAAAAATAGTCGCACATCATCTTCCCACACTCGTCAATTGTCTGCTAATAGTGGGAATACATCCACTGCGAATGGCAATACATCGTCAAATCAAGTTAATCCACGCATACTTTTGTCCGCTTTTAGTTGTCTTCCTTTGATTTTAAGTGGATGTGGTCCTATACGCCTACGATTATTTCAACTGCAAGATTTGAAATCGTCACATGAGGGAAATAATAAAAATTGTAATTATGTAAATAATCCTGTCAATTTGGCTGTTGTCACCTCTTCGTCGTCATCATCCTCTTCAGGGGTTGCTCGTAATGGATCACCTGATTCAGTTTTTTGTTTATTATCATTTATTAGTCGTCTCTTAGATCACTGGACATCAGCAGATCCCATCACTGTAGCTGGTAAGTGTAAACCAAGTTCAAGCTATTTTGCTTCTATATTCGGCTTATTACCAGTTTCATAGCTTTAGTTGATGTTTTTCACAGCTTATCAGTCGTTTATTCTCTATATTACAAGTCTTTCATTTTATAAGACTTGCTTGGCAAATGTTTTTGTATTGTCTTTTGAGGCCTACCTAATGTGTAGAATTACATCTAAACCCATGATCTAGTAGGATGTAGACGAGACTATACAGGAGTTAGCTACAGCTCAATTTTGTGCTTTCTTTTTTCATCAAAATGGGGATTGTAATCGCATTTTCTCCTGTCTGTGTTCAATGATAATTTAAGTTGAAAAGATGTTTCACTAAAAGAAAAGGAATATTTTCAAGATGAACATTTACCATTATCAAACTAATCACTGTAGTTATTCTTCTGAACTTAAATTACTCACATAATGGTAGCTTTGGGTGTCTGTTACTAGGATTGATAGAACAAGTAGCTAATGGATGGCGTTTAGTCTTCAGGCTAGATACTTAAGTGTATAGGATGAATTCATGTCAGTCATAGCGTTCTATGGATTACAGAAGGTTTCTTAGTATGCACGTAGATCTGTTTGTCCTTAGACAATAATAAGCATTTTTCAAACAACTGGTCTTTCTCTTTCATAGTGTAGAATGGATAAGTTTAAGTACTTTATCAAGGCAAATGTTGGAATAGCCATTTGAGTGGACAAAGAATATTTTTTTCGATAACTTCTTTTTCAAATTCTACAGTTATGTGTACATCTTTAAGGTATTACGCGTCAGTAGTGGGGCAGTAAAACCGGCATAAGATTTCAAGTGGTTTCTTTTATCATATATAAACACCACTACCTTGTCAGTTTATACAAAGATTTTACATTCAACTAGGTCGTTTATTTAGTAATTCAAACGAGCTGTTGGTCGGTATTTCTACGGAGAAATGTCAATAGAAACCATCCTTCATGTGCATATCCCGTTTTCAAATCTATACGGTCTCAGCTGAAAATATTAAAACGTGTCCATATTGAAGAATAATTTTTCTCCAAAATGAAGTTATAGTGATAATTTGAAGGAACAAGCATGGTTACTTACCTTAAATCTAATCTATTCCTCGTTCAGCTTTATCAGTAGATAATTAATTATATTCAGTTAGAGTAGCAAAAAATTCGCAGTTTTGTTTATCAGACAAACGGAAATAACTGATCACCTATATTCCTATAAAAAGTATTAGATGTGTATTAAGCAGTATATCTTGTTTTGAATAAACTGAGACAGCTATGTTTTGAAAGTTGATAACCATTACGTTTTGAGAGAATTTCGGTGCATGAATAATGGAACCGGAAATCCTCGGGGTCACATATCAAGCTGCCGCGTCGAACTGGCAATCAGGTCTTGAGTTAATATCGGCCACCAAATATCGTGTGAGTGAGAAATATGTCGCTGTTACAAAAATAATCGCATTGAACTGTCTCATTAATATAGGTGTAAAACTTGAGCAGTGTGGTAGAATTTAATTCCGTATTAGATTTGTTTATTTGATCTATAACACACAGTGAGTGATACAGTATACTTACTTGATGACGTTTCGAGCATAAATTATTGCTCATACTCATATCAATGTAACCACACAACTTCTGACATTTAATTTTTATAGTTATGTCACCGCATATATATGTTTTTTATTGGTAGTAAAATTTTCCACATCTCTGATATAGGTGTTGCGTCATTTCTATTACATGGGTTGTGTGTTGACTCGATAAACAAAGATACAGTAATCAATGTCTCTCTCCACCTAATTATATTGGACTTAAGTACAGTGGTTTTATCCACCCTATTGTATGGTTGTGTGTTAATGCATGAATTGCAATGGTGGAGTATTTTTCTAGATTATTGATGTTATTCGGGTCTGTGGTTCTATATTTAGCTAAAGTCCTGTGTTCGGCTATTCTAACTGATCCCGACCAGCTAGTTTGACCTATGTACTTGACTTCACAGTCATTACATGGGATTTGGTAGATGATATTATTTTGCCTAATTGGTTCTATCGGATCCTTAAGCCAGCCGACAAAGCTTATCTCTGAGTGAGTTTGTAGGTTTAAATACCACCCTAATTCCAGCTTTGTTGAGTATCCTGCGTAAAATTTCCGATGTACCTTCCTTATTGGGTAAAACAATGGAGGCTGTGAACTCGTGTTACCGTTAACGACAACACGAGTACGAATAATAACGACATCTTAACACCATCTTAAATGGTCGAACTAGTTACCAATCAACCCACACTTCACTCTAATTCACCTTGATTTTTTAAGGAATAAGAAGAAAAAATTGGAAAACTTTCATTATGAATTACGAACAGCTGTGCATCCTTAAAAGAAATAGGAACAGACCACAAGGGTTAGTAGTTTGCATAAAAATTTAAACATGGTCATCAGTATGCTGTTGTAGCTTAATTAACTGGTGAACTCATATTTATAACCTATCGGTCACTGTTTCGAATTCTGCCACCACGGAAGTACTTAAAGCTCTTTCTCTTCATTCTTTTACTATTTTACAATGCAGATGGCATAAAAATTTCACTTACCAGTTAAAATAAATTTCTGAATAAGTTATACAGTCCAATTTACAGAAATATATTGTACCACAAACATATCTGAACAATGAGACAGTGATTAGGTTAAATGAAACTCAATAATTTGAGAATGGCACACAAAATATCATCAAATTTCCATTCTATCAACATTCTATCATCATTTAGTGTGTATTTCTTCCCCTTTTTTCCTATTCTCCTCCTCTTAGCATGTAATTTATACGTAGCAACGATCGAAATAACCAATTAAGTTTCTTCATTTTGGCTAGAAAGGCAGATTTTCATAAAATACAGAATTCTGATTGGTTATCCCAGTTGTTGCCAGGGTGGCCTTTAAAATCCACGCTTAAGAAATACATCTAAGTAATTATATCGATTCATGTGATCCCGTTCATTTCTAGCACTGATAACCAACCTACTGTAATCGATTAGTATTTAGAGTTAAACTTTTGCTGTTGCTACTTTTCAATTTCTAGTGTGTATTTCAAGACAGTTATTGATTTATTCGTTTCCTTCTCTTTCTCTGTGTGTGTGTGCGTATATGTATGATTACCTTTGCTGTGTATGTGCAAACCATTACTAATAATGGTGAGAACAGATGGTAATCCACCATATTTAAATTTAACTTAGCACGTGAAGTATAGGTGATCGTTAATCTGTGCGTAATGGCTAAATGTGTGTGTGTGTGTATATATATTAGCTTGACAGTGTGAATAGATGTTTATGTTATGGTTTCTACATCTTAATGCTGCACTCAATTGTAGAGGAATCACAAAAATATATTCTAAGAAGAAAACCAGTAGTAACCATTAATACCATTCTCCAGTAAATACTGTTTCTTTCTCCTGTTCCATTTTCAATGTTTACAGGTTAATTTTAGTGCGATAATTTTGTTCTAGTGTGTTAATTACGCTGTTGTTGTTATTTGTTTGTCGTTTTCATTTTTGGTTGTTGATACCATCACATCTGTAGTTTTAAGATCAATGATGAGACAATCAATAAAGTTGTTCTTTTTATGATCATTTGTACTGCATTGGCACGCGCATAACGTGTTCTATTGAATTTTTTCTCGTTGTTTTCATCTGAGAATTAAAATACTTCAGACGATTGCGTAAGGCATACTTTATAGTTTCAAGCTATTAAGTCAGTAATATGGTCACCTATAATTGAACTAGTTTTCCTCTGGGATGAGGTTGAACAGTGTAACTGAATGGTATTTTTCTGAATTATAATGCGTCAGACTACTCTACAATCATGATGTCTTACCATCTAATTATGCCATTACTATAACGGATTATTTAGTTTGTCAGAATAGGATTTTATTCCGTCTCATATACTTTTTTTGTACCCCAAGAACAAATACATCTGTTATCGAGTTATTCATGAGAAAATTGATACAAGCAAAAGAAAAATTATGTGTCCATACATATGTTATGTACAGTGTGAACTTTCCATATGGTACCTTTATTTGCCAACCTATACGGGTACTCAAAGTTGAAAGATCATGACTGCCAATCACGTAATCACCGCAGCCTTAATGTTTAAAGTCATAGATACAAAACTATGGGGTTATCCTATATGACTCATCATTAATTTGCGGTTTAAAGGGGCGACTTCAATGGCCACCCTAACAATGGTAAAAGTGACCAATTAAGTTTCTTTATTTTGGCTGCTAAGCAGGATTTTCATTAAATGTCGGAGTCTGATTGGTTACTCCAGTTGTAACTCTGGTGGCCTATAAAGTCACTTGTATATAGCATTGATCTAACTGAATTTCGTTCACATAGTGAGTGTCACATCACTTAGTTATGCCAGTTTCCTTGTTAGTACCGACTGAAATATGCCACTACGGGAATGAAAGTTTTTTTACAGGACTTCTTAAGTCATTACCTTAAGATCTCGAGTGTCTTTGAAGGCCACCTAGAAACTGCTGAAGTAACCAATCAGGTTTCGGTATTTCACCTCAAAATGTAACTTCCCATAAAATGGAAAACGATAATTGGTTATCTCGGCAGTTAGTAGAGTGACCTTAAAAGTCACTCAAAAGTTCTCCAGGCGCTTATGCTCGAAGCGTAATATTAGGTAAAGTGACTCCTTCTCAAGAGTACCAGATGCACGTTTATATCTATGAGCTCATTTACATAATTACTTCAAGTTAGTGCTATTCTCACTGACACTATCAATATCTCTCACACTATCTCTCTTTGAGCACTTTGTATTTCTTCTAACTGAAATTTTTTTTCTCCATCTGGCGCCTCACTGCCTTTTTACTTGATGTACTGATATGAGCTGTGGAAACTTGGACCGTTACGCAGTAATGCCTGGTTTTATGTTGATACTCGTCCTGACGATAAGTCCTTTTCCCAGCATTTGTAGCTTGACGCTTACTAGTTTATTATTGTTATTATTTATCCATTGGGTTCTTACTGGAACATATGGCTTCCGTAGCACATCTCCACTTCACTCTCTTCTCTTCAGTCTTTTCAACCTGGCTCCACGACTGCCCACAAGCTTTCATTTCTTCCGCACATGGTCTCCTTCATGTCACCGTCGGATGCCAAACTCGGCGTTTCCCTTGCGGGTTCCACTCAAATGCCTGGCCTTCCGTATGGTGTCTCCAAATGGTCTGCCCAGTGTATGCACAATTCATCTCCACCTCCTTCTGCATCGTTGTTGGGTGATGGGTTCTTGGTTGGTTCGTTGCTAGTCAGCCAGAGTTCCGTGTTGCTTATTCTTTCTCACCATCTGATCTTCAGTATCGAGTGAGCGTAGGTGGCAGCTGTTGATGAATGTCTGTAGTTTGTGGAAACGTTTTAAGTAACGGACTTAGTCTCTCAACCATATGGAAGCACTGACTTGATTGACATTAGTGTTGTTCTCGCTTTATGCTGAGTGTGGTAGATCTCCACACTGATTTCAGGTTAGTGCAGGAAGGCCTGTCTTCCTTCTCCTATTCTGGGTTTGACATCCTCATCTGTGCCTCCACCACCGCCTGTATTTGAAACGATGCTACCTGTGTAGGTAGGTAGTTAGGTAGGTAGGTAGGTGGGTAGGAGAAATAGACAACTTCGTTTAGATTTCCCCCATTAATGGTGATTGGTGCTTGTTGTTGTTATTCGTTGGTAACCTTCACCACCTCTGTCTTCTCTACGTTCACCTGAAGTCCTGTCTTGGCTGCCTCATCTCTTCTGTCAGTTTGTTGGTTTTTGCTTGTAGATGTTTGAGTTTTTGCGACACTAGACATAAATCATCATTGGCGGAATACAAATCTTGTTGGGTCTTTTCATTGATCACAGAGCGTTTGCCCATCTTCTTGCTCCTGACAGTTTATTGCGTGATCGAGTAGAGTTGAGTTGACCACCATGAGGAAGATTATCGGTGATGATAGTAGGCAACCATGTCTTACTCCTTCCTGTCTTCACTTGAAAGGCATCACTGAGCTTTTCATTGTGAGTTACTTGGCATGCAGTATGTAGCATCATATCATATCATATCATATGGCTGTTGTTGAATGAGCTGGATAAAGGTTTATTGCAGTAAAAACGTAGTTTCGAAGCAGTTAACAAATTACCACTTCCCGGTCGACACTATCGAAGGGCTGTTCAAAGTTGATGAAGTTGAGGTAGAGGTAGAGAGAGAGAGAGAGAGAGAGAGAGAGAGAGAGTTGACTGGCATTCAATGCTCTGTTCCATGATGATGCGTGGCGTTTCGTTTCAATTTGATCCACACATGATTTGTTCTTCCTGATTCCAGCCAGCCAGCCAGCCAGCCAGCCAGCCAGCCAGCCAGCCAGCCAGCCAGCCAGCCAGCCAGCCAGCCAGCCAGCCAGCCAGCCAGCCAGCCAGCCAGCCAGCCAGCCAGCCAGCCAGCCAGCCAGCCAGCCAGCCAGCCAGCCAGCCAGCCAGCCAGCCAGCCAGCGTGTTCCGGTAGTAATTTTGAACCCAGAGTGTTCTTCAGTCTCTCCAGGACGATGCGGCCCAATGTTTTGCTGCACTTGGGTGACAAGGAGCGTGATCCCACACCAGTTCTTGACAAGACTTGCTTATGTCGTCCTTGTTTGGGAGTTTGACCAGGTAGCACTCCTTCCACTCTGCAGGTACCTTTCCTTCCTTCCTTCCTTCCTTCCTTCCTTGTGAGCCTTGTGCAATAGTGGTGTGAACATGTCCGCTATTGTCTCTGTGTCTGTTTCAAGTGCTTCTGGTGGAATTTTATCTGGTCCTGCTGCTTTCCTGGATTTCAGCAACTTTATGGTGTTCAGGACTTCACTGTTGTTTTTGTCGGAGGGCTTGTGTTCACTGATAGTTGATTGGCTGGTCTGCTGGTGGTATTTGTGGACGAGTTGCAGGTGGTGGTGGTGGTGGTGGTAGTCGATTCAAGAGTTTTTTGAAGAGGTCAGCTCATCATTTCCTTTGTTTCTCCTCTTTGGTGGTAACTAGCTTTCCTTCACTATCTTTCATTGATTTCATCTGTGCTGTGTTGATCTCTTCACTACCAGATATTAACCTGGTTATTTGATATAATGTTGTCAGGTCTCTGTCTCTCCTACCTGCAGCCTGTTCTGCTTCAGTTGCCAGTGTGTCGTGGAAGTGTCTTTTGTCTTTCCATACACTCTTCTTCACTTCTTTATCCAGTGTAGTGTTTTGTAGGTTGTGTTCAGTTCCTCTTTTCGTTGTTCATCCCTGCACTTCACTGCACTGCACTGCACGGGTTCATCTTCTGCTTCATCATCTTCCTCTCCCTACTCTATCAGCTTCCCTGTGTGAGTGAGGATCCATTCCTTGTTTTGTCTCTTCTTCTTCCTTCCTAACACGGTTATGCAGGTTTCCTTCAATGTCTCTTTCACAGAGTTCCAGTGTTTTTCCACGCAGGTTTTGTCTGCGATGTTGCTCAATGTCTCCGATTTTTTTCGTGATGTCTGACTGACGTGAAGTTGTCCTGAGTAGTTTTGTGCTTCAGTTCAGTTTGTGTTCTGGGTGCTGAAGTTGAACTATGGTCTGTCATAACCAGCTTCTGTGAAGGCTTTCAACTTGATTTTGTAGGAGGGTTGCTTGTACTAGGTAATGAGTGGTGTGAAGCTACATCTGCTCCCCTTGATGATGTGATCTTGTGTGTCCAGTAGGCTGGCTGTGTCTCCACTTTCTTCACATTGAGATGAATTCGATGTGATATTTAGTGTGTCCTGGTGTGTGGTCAAATGAAATGCATGTCGCTCGCTTTGTGAATATCCTTGTGTTTGTACACACTGTCTGGAATCACCAAATCGTTGAATGCGCCGAAGTCTGCAAACAGTTGAGCATTCCCATTCATTTCACTGAGTGTTTCTCGACTGATGACGATGAGTTCTGTTCGTGTGTTTTCCGCTGCCAGTTTGGCATTCATGTCACCCCAGGCATTAAAATTTTGATATCGCCAATTGGAGAGGGGTGTTGTGCAGTACTGATTGAAGTTATCTGTAGAATTCCTCCTTCTTCTCTTGATCTGCGTCTGCATTATTTGTAGGTGCGTAGTGTAGTGTAGTGTAGTGTAGTGTAGTGTAGTGTAGCATTGTATGATTGTAACTTTCCTTTGTTTTGGGTTGAATCCATGTTGCTGTTATGATGCTGATCGTGCAGGAGGAGATTGGTTCCCACTGCATGATAGTGAGGCTTTGATGCTGTTGGGAGGGGGAAATCATGATATGCAGTGGAAAACTGTTGTGCTCGTTGTTTTCGTCTGGGTGACGATATCGGAGATGATTATTGAGTCTGTAGTTGTCAGTTTGGAGATTCCACTTCTATTCCATCTGCTTTCACAGATTCCTGGGACTTCTATTCTGTATCTTTTCATGTCTTTAGCAATCAGGGTAGCCTTGTTAGATTTGAACATTGTCAGACATTCCATGTTTGTATGCTTAGGTTAGTTTTTGTTTCATCGAGTGGATAGAAGACACATCGGGTGACTGGCTTCCCGAAGTCTTTCACCAACCGTTGTCGTATCGTGTCTCCGATTCCAGAAAGGATTTAGTTTGTTTTTATTTTTATGTTTCTTTTTTGCTTTGAAGTTTTTTTAGTGGTTGCTCGCCTCTAATCATGCTGTCTACATCTTTCAAGATGACTGACACCAACAGTTGAAGATTTCATTGTGTGCTGAGGCCATTTTGAACTCTCTTCCTACCTAATCTGACTTCGGCTAGTATGGTACGTAGATGTAGGTGGTTGTTTAGCATGCGGAATGCATGTCTAAGCTGTCTCAGTTCACTAAGATTCACAACCTCATCAATCAATTTGTCTGCCTTTTTTAGTGTTCTTCATCTGAATTCAACGTTTTTCACACACTGATTCCACCGAACGGGAGCAGTACTATGAAGACGTGTGCGATGAAATGCCTGTAATCGGTTTATGTCTTCTACTTTAGTGTCCATTTCGCACAGGAGTATAAGAAGACAGAAAGGACGGCAGCTCATCAAACTCTTCCTTTGATAGATGAGCATAGATTGAAAACATTGAGAAATCAATTATGATGTCGCATGTTATATGTCCGAATCATAAGCAAGACATTTAAATGGTGCTATTCATTAACTTTTCTGGTCTGTATTTCTAATGATCTTAATTATTTGTTTACATCCGGTGTTTAATTGTTAAAACAGTCGAACGGTTGTTGCGATATGCGTGAAACTTCTGTGAATAATACACGATGTTCAGAATCACCAGTTTATTAGTGGTTCGCTAAGTAAATGTGTATTTTCTCGCTAATTGAATGTCTATACTGGTTTTCATTTTCTTTGGATTTTAACTTCTTTTTTTGACGACGAAATACTCTATAGGTGCCATATTGACTTTTAATACTTGATTCTACAACTCTTATGCACTGAGATAATTTCGGACGGTTTATGCGTTGATTTATTTACTGATCTTTTTTCCTTGGCATTCGGGTCGTTTGTTACCTATTTTATCAAGAAGTTGATGATAATGTTAATAGTTGTTGTATACTGTTTTCTTTTTTTTCGTAGCTGGACTATTTTCAGTTCATCATTCAGGGAGTTTTGAAGAAGAAATATTAAGTGTTGTCTTGACAGTTATCGAAGATATTAGTCAACAGTCAAGTTTGGTTGAGAAGCGTAAACAAGATCTTATATGCCTTATTTTACCTGGATTAGCCCGTCTGGCTGTTTGTTCAAATACTAAACCTGAAGTACGATCAATATGTGTAAAGGTAAGTCAACGTCAGCTTGTTCAGTTTCACCAGTAATGTTTAGGTCTCAGAATTTTAGACATATGAATTGGTTTGTAAATACACATCTCTCTTGCTAATTAAAACACAATATGTATGTATTCGATTATTTCAAACTATGATATAAAGCAGTATTAGGAGAATAAGCTTAAGTCCCTAAAATATTTCAACCACAACATAACACTGGATGCTTTAGAAATGTAAGGCAGTGTAAGTCTTAAATGTAGATCTAACTAAAGGCTTCACGATAACACTTATTGTAACTCAGAGAGCTTAAACTGGATGATCTCAAACTGTTGCGGCGAATTCATTTAGTTTTTAATCTTATTCTGGTAGTTAAAATTACTGTTTAATTTGTCTCTGTCTCTTCTTCGTCCTCTCCGTATTACATTTAATTACTTTTAGACTATTTGTTTAATTTCAAAATTAGTTTTCTCACTGATTAATATCACTCAGCTAGCAGATATTGATTGGTTACTCAAAGATTTTTGTCAATGACGACCCAATGTTGTATTGTTATTACCCTACGAGATATGATCAGATGACTACAATTGAATATCTTCGCTAATTGCTTTGATTTTCTGCGAATTCTTCATTGATTATCGTTACTGTTTCTTTATTTTGGCTTTTTATTTTGCTCTCTTCCGTCTATCATTTTAAAGCTATGAAGAATTATTTAAGAATCAAGGTTTCAGTTTACACTGGTCTGAAAAAACATCGAGTTTTTCGAACCACTTAAATATAAAACAACTGTTGCTCTTAGTATCATTTGCTTCATCAAAGTACAGTACTTGGGAAGGCGTATATATCATTTCATTTACCACTGATATAAATCGTGAAGGGTTTTCATTAGATGTAAATGTTATCGTTACAAAGTGGAAACTAGCCAGAGAGTTCAGAATCAGTTGCTCTTTTCTAATTTCTGGGCTTTCTGACAGTGTATACCTTCATTTATTTATGGAGTTAAAGTGTATCTTTACAAATATCTTAATAAAACTTCTAAACAGAAATCAATTTGGTTCGAATGAAACAATTATTGCTTTTTTGCTTCATTCAATTAATGGAGTGCTGATAAGCTGAGGTTTCGTTAAAGGATGTCTGTTGCATTTCCAAAATTCGTTGATACACTACAGGTTGGGATCTTCTATTTGTACTTCATGAGTCTCGCTTTCATGTAATCCAATTTCAAGGTTTATTGCTTTGACGTGTCTCTGTGATTGAAATACTTTTCTAGTTTGTCGACTTTTATAAATAACATATACGAAGAAAAATCTAATATTTTACCTTCGAACACATCTTTATCTACTAAAAACCTTAAAATATACTATTGACTCTGTTTATTCACTCCACTGTAGTGGTTCTGAACTTTCTGTTAAGTTATTGCAGTTATAGAAGTGATCGAAAGTAGCACGTTTTGCAGTGACACTGACACTGCCAAACTCATCGTAGAGCCCCGCACAGAAATGCATCAGCTGAAGTTGCCACACTTCACAGTGGTACATAAATAACAGGTAGGTGAATAGAAAAGGAGTGATATCGAAGTAGACAAAGTTGTGTGAGAGAATAAACAATCTGAAGATGACGGTTAGTGCAAATATTTAGGCTTTAGATGTTGTAAAGGAATGAATACATCCGTGTCATTGTAACCAATTTTTATCCATGTGACCAATTGTGTCAACCATCTTGAACTCTCTTTTAACCCACTCCAACTTCGCCTACCATGACAGGTCAAGATAGGTGGTGGATCGACATGCGCAGTTAATGTCCAAGCCATCTCAGTTGACTAGTGTTTACAACCTCTTCAATTGACTAGCGTGTCTTATATTCACCTGACCTTAGTGTTGCTAACACAGTGATTCCACAAAACTTGAGCAATGCTATGAAGCTATTAGTTATGAAAACCCTGTAATCGCTTTATGTCTCCTACTTCTAATGGCCATTTCTGACAGCCGTATAAGAGGATAGAACTGCAGCGCAGTATAACGTGTCCTTTGATAGATAGTCGGATCAAAGGACGTATGAATTATGTCTCTATAGTGACCTATAGTCATTATCAGTCATCTCTAAGCCTTCATCCTGACAAGATCTGGCATGGTTGTGAGCTATGCCAATGAAGCTACCATCAAAGTATTGATGAAATCTCAATGGATTTCATTTTAAGGCATAATCTATTTAATGTCTGTCATCTGGTGGACAAACAAACAGTATCAGTAGCACTCACAGGAAGTGTAGCTAGTATCTTATTATATAAATGTATATTTGGCTACCCAGTTGCTTCATTGTTTATAATTTGTATAGGAAGATATACCTTCAAGTATCAAGTAATTTTTTTCTTACTCTGACAGAGAATTTAGTTCATTCCGTTAGTGATGATAGGTACCTTTCTATTCTAAATGAGTAATTCAAAGTAATGATTAATGATAAAGTTTGTCATCTACCATTTTTCTCTGTGGTAGAATCTGAAAGTGTATATATTCTCTTTCATTTCATACATTCGGTCAAAGCGGTAGTTCTGTTAGAGTGAGACTGGTGAGTATGAAGTAAAAACACGAATTCCTTCTCTGAAATCATTTTTGCCTAGAGAGTACAGATTACTTGCTTTTTCTACTTGGGTTATTTTTTGTTGAAATTTAAAGTTAGTAACCGAAGAAAACTGAACTGGTCACTGGTCTTTTCGTGACTGTATCTAAATATACTTCTCATTTTATTCAGTATTTTTTTTAATGACACTTTTATGTCAGAGATAACACCTTGTGATGTTGAGTGATAGGGTGGGAGGTTATGTGGTTCCAAACGGAAACTCTATCGACACCAGAGTTTGAACATTTGAAAAATTATTCAGCTGTGAAGCGAGTAATGATAGTGTTTTGGGAAGTATGATATTTACTTTTCAGTCAATGAAGTTTTTTGTTATTCTTAAAACCTTCTACAACCTCATCGTTGAAATACGTAAGGTATTTCATTTTATAAATATTGGTATTCCAGTTTCAACTCATACTCGATTAATTCGTTGCTCTCAAAACACTGTTACAAGTTTCAGATCGATGTTTAATGCAATCCACTTGAGAAACTATCAATATACATTGGATAGATGTTTTTACCTGTCACATGACTTCTCATACATACGCAGATATTTTTACTTGATCCCTTTTTTATAAACGTATTGGAAATTAAATCCCAATACAAATCCAAGCTGATGTTTTAAAGGAAAAATTAACTCATGAATAAGTTTATATACATACTATTCATTATCTTTTAATTAAGAAAGAGTAAATCACCTGATGACTTTTCAGTTTTAGTTTTCTGTTTCATTTTTATCAAAAGCAAGTTAACTTCTCATTCTTTATCACACTGTCTGTTATATACACTCTCTCACTCTCTTTCTTTATTCGCCTTTTGTTAGCATTGTACGTTAACATATATTTTTGCTTATTGCGTATTGATTAGTTATTGTTTTTGTCTACAGTGTTGCATTTATTGTCTGGATTCTCCTGTGGTTTCTTACTCACTTTTAAGAGCTTTATCATTGTTTTCTTCCTGTTACTACTTGTGACTCATTTTCTTAGAAATGATCATTTTCACTAAGTAATCCGACTACACCCACATATATATATATATATATATATATATATATATATATGGCTACCCAGTTTCTTCATTCTTTATAAGTTGTACAGGAAGTGTAGCTTCCCATTGGTTCCTACCATGCTTAATGCAATAATGACCAAATTAACGATCATGCTTTCTTTTGGTCAGTGTCGTGTTAGCTAGCTCTATTTTCTGCTCCGTATATATTGGTAATTTCTGCTTCACTGGATTGTTACGAAACAGAGCTTTATTATTTTACACTTTATTTCTGTGCAACTTGAGTGAGATCATAGATTTTTCTACTGAAAAGTACTGAGATACTTTAGCATAAATTGTATCCTCAAATTTTTGTTCACTTAGGTGTTATTTGTTTGCTTTTAGCCGACAGTGAAATCTACAATTCGCTTTCAATTTTATTCAGTACTGATCATTCGAAAGTATCTGATGAGTGATGTAACCATCAGTTCGAGCGTCAGAGATTTATGCATTAGGCTAATGAAACTAAGATGGAGAAACATGCACACTCACTCCTAACTGCCATCAAACAAATAACATTAAATTGAAATCCTTGGCACTCAAAGTGCCAGTATAAAAGTATTCATAGGTCAACCGTAGCTAATTAGTTCGCTAATATGAAACAAATAATGGAAGATTTCAGGGTCTGGATTACACGTGAACTTGCTTTTCTGAATCTTGTATATTTAGGAAAACCTGGGTGTTTTGAGATAGTAATATTAGTAATCTGAAGTAATAAACTGCCTTTTCTGACGAAATAGACTATTTGTATAGTACAAAGTACTCTCCCTACATCTGAAAATAAATTAAACTTTTTTGAATACATTGAAAACCAATCCGGATAACTCGAATATTCTAAAAGGATTCGCCCACCGTACTAGGTGCCTGAATAACAGATTGGATAATGAAGGACAATCGGTCATGAACAAATGCGTCTCTTGAAAGGTCTGGAAAAGTCAGAGTGAAACGTAAACACATAAATACTGTGGAATTTCTTACACGGTTAACAATGTAAAATAGTTTCTATCGTTCTACTGAACTTTTCGTTCCCGAGGAATCCAGTCATATGAAAAGTAAGGACTGAAAGTCATTGCGCAGGTATTCACACACGTGTATTCAACATTCAAGATAGACCATTTATACATCTTGATGAGCTTTAAAGATTTTCTTTGAAACATGTTACTTATATGTAATTAAAATATGAGCTATTTGGGTGCAGTATATAGGCAGTTGTGTCATGTTACTTATCGAGATCCAATCAGTGATAAAAAAATATTTTACTGACGTTTTTAAAAAAAATGAAAGTTAAGCAGATACAAAGAGGATTTGCGATATGATAAGTTATAATTTCCTCTAATTCTTTAGTATGATAAGCGGTA